AAGCCGCTGAGGCACGCAGCCGCAGTGAGAGGGCAGGGTCCGGCGGCGCGCCAGAAGGTCTGGAGGAGCGCCAGCGTCATCGCTCGCTTTGCTGGGGTGGTGGTGCTTCGGTGCTTTGGTGCTGATGGCCGCACAGCGTCAGAGCCGCAGGAGCTAGGGAGCCTTCTGTGGCCCCCCATTCGTTCCCTGCCCTGGCCCCCTCGCCCCCATCATACAGCCAAACAAAGCACCGCCGGCGGTTCGCTGGTGCGCTGGCGCAAGCGCAGGCATCCCGCCCAAGGACGCGATCCATGCATTCCCCCTTGGCCCTTCCCTAGTCTTCCCTTGCGTTCCCTTCTCTCCCTTCCCTTGCGCCCTTTCGGGTCCTCCGTGTCCCTTGTTCTCTCCCTTCTGTCCCGGCCGGCGGCCAGAGGGCCCAATTAGAGGGGCACCCTGAGATCTATCCTGGTCCGTCCCTGAACAGGCTTACGTTTACCTGCTGATACGGCTGGTATGCAAAGGTGTCCGCAGGCAGCATGCGGCGAACGAGGAGATCTCCAGTTAGCCGGTCATCTGCGTTTGTGCCAGAGAGCTTGATAATCCACTCCGAACCCCACCAATCACGCATGTCCGTTGCCGCAAGCGCATGCCAGATGCCCGAAATATCCCAGCAAGCTCAAGCTTCCATCAAGCATACACCGTACCGTACCCAATACCCGATCCTCTGGTGTTGCCCCTCTCGCAAGACGCCGACACCCCTGTAATAACGAGCACACCACCTGCTTTTGCCAACGGCTTCTGACGCCGATGTCCGTGACGTCTGACGTCTGCGTGCTCGAGATCCGGTGACTCGCCCACTGTGGTTGGCTGCCACATTGTGATCTGTGATCTGTGATCCGTGATCCTCTGCCACAAACCTGCAGATCAGTCCGCGCAGCATGCACACAACAGTCAGAGCTCCCGGCCGTGGCCCTCGCGCCCCTGCGTCAGCCTGATGCAGCCTGATGCAGACGTGCTGCCCGGCCCTTGCAGCCCCTGCAGCGGCTTGCAGCCCTTGGCGTGCCATGTCTGCCCTTGGGTCTTGATGTGTGCGCGAGTGAGTGATCCTCGCATGCAGGCGGCCCGGCACGCAGCGGCAGCGGCACCGCACCGCACGGCTGTCGGGTCCCTCCCGAGCCATGGCAAAGATCTGTGCTGGGCATACCGGGCATGTTGGCAGATGGGTTCAGAGCCGAGCGAGGCGAGAGCCACAATCCCAGAGCCACACTCGTTCTGCGCACGCAAGCGCAGCGAAGCGAAGGCGAGCACGCAGCGCATGCGCAGCGGTATCTCAGCAGTACTCCAGCGCAGCGTCCCAGCCCATTATCGCAGCGTATCAGCGTTCCTCATGTTCCGGCGTCCGATCTCTCGGCGCTGCTGCTTGCACTTGCTTGCGTGCCCGGCGGTTGGCTGGGACGGTCGCTTGGTGCGCTCGCCTGCCGCAGCGAGCCTGGCAGGCTGACAAGGCTGGAGCGCTCAAGCCCGCCGGAGCCGTCTCACGTCAAGATGAGACATGGGTGGCCCAAGCGCGTCACTGCTCGCATGAGGCCGCCAGACGAACTGCCCAGTCATCGAGCGCCGAGATACACCCAGCATACCTCCACTCGAGCCCATGCAGGCATTGCAACGCATGACATGCACTCGCGACCGGCGCACTCGACCGGCGTAGTGTATCGACCCATCCCATCCGACGGCGTCAGGGTGACGAAAAGAGGGGGCGGTGTACCTATGGCATGGCCCTGAGACACCCTGAATTGAAATTTTTGCCCTGCTCTTCCCTGCGCCCCTCCCCCTTGCCTCTGTGATCGACTGGTGCTGGCGCGCGCCACTTGGGGGAGCCACTGGCGACTGGGCTCTGCCCGCACTGGCTGGGCTGGATGGGACTGGCTGCGACTGGCTGGACTGGGCTGGGCGAGGGCTGGCTCGGCTGACACCAGCACGAGCACACCCAGCTGGCTCGGAGGCACAACAGCGTTGGGCTGACTGGTGAACTGGTGATGACTGCTGCTGTGCGCTGTGCGCGTGCCTTTGGATGCCGAGGGAGCCGGCACTTGGTCGGCGTTTACCCCTACCTTCCCTGTGACGCCCGTTACCCTGGATTGACTGGGCCATTTCCCTGAGCTCCTTCCCCCTGGCCGACGTCGAATAGCGGTCACCTCAGAGGTGCACCATGCATCATCACCCACCGGGCATCCCGACCACTCAGTGCACTCAGGCTCAGGCCACTCACCGGCCACGGCGACTTGCGCGACTGTTCTCTAATCCGCCTAATCCGCCAATCCTATTCCATCAACCGCGCTCCATTAGCACACCTTCTCCTCCGCCTTCCCTCTCCGCCCAGAGGCCAAGCATACCCACCCACGCACCCACTCTCTACCAGTCACACGCTTGCACACCGTAGTGCACCTTCACGTTCACCGGCACGCACCAAGACCAAGGCCCTCGGCTTCGACGCCGCCTTCTGCACTTATCGCAGCCTGGTCCGGCGGGGTCCTCGGGTGCTCCGCCTGCGGAGCTCGCGTCCTCTGGCCTTGCCCCTACGGAGTCCAGGGTCGGTGGGCCTAACCTGAGTTGGTGTCGAGTTACCCTCGCGCGCACCCTCGATGGCCCTTGTTGGCCCTTGTTCAAGCCCTTGTTTGCCCCTGGCTTCGCCCAACCACACCCATCCCAGCTCTCCGCCGTCCTCTCCACCAACGTCAACGTCCACTTTTCTATCCAACCACCCCGTCTTTCTTCGACCGTCCGTCGTATCATCCCCACCTCTCTCCATCGCATCGTCGCTCTCAACTAGCACAACCCAGCATCACAAACCAGCTCGACCCGGCCTCCTCTCCCGCGTCGCTCGCCAGCTTGTTTCTCTGTCCCATCGTTTTTCGTCTTCTCCCCCTTCCCCCCTTGCCCCTCGCTTCCCCCGCCCGCGTCGCTCAATTTCAAGCAAGCCCATAAGCCAAATCAATCGGCGGTCGGCTCTCGGAAAAAAATACGCGCGTACCAAACTCAACGACTGCTTTTTCCCTCACTGCCCTCTTAACCCTCAGTGCCCCTTCCTCTTATCCCTCCCCTAAAGCAGCCCCGTCCCCTCTATCCCTCTCCTATCAATCAACCCTCCCCTAATTTTCTTTGGAGTCACCTTTTTCATCCTTTCCTTTTCGAATCCAAAGTTACTCCCCCTCCTCCAACGAACGCTTTTCGATCCATCGGCGACATCGTCCTTGTTGTGACTGTATCCATCAGACCAAACGTGAGTACTGCGTCCCATGTCTTGCACTGCTACGGCGTGCGACAGCTTGTGCATCCCTCCTCTACCCTTCTCGTCCTCATCGCCGCCCTCGTTCTCGCTGGGTCAGCACCACCTCTTTCATCTTATCTTTCCCTAATGTGTTGAGACAAGACGGAAATCTAGGGGCGATCCAGCCCTGCAGCTGGACCTGACCCTCAAGCAACCTCTCGACCCTCTCGCACATCATTATGGTGCAGTGCATCATGTCATCCACCATGCTTGCAACTCATCGTCGATGCTGCATGGGTGGTTGCGACTGCGGTTGGCTTGCACCCACGCTGCTCAGTCAGCTTCCGTCTTCCACCCGAACGAATTTATTTCTGCGTGGGGGAAGTCGGGGGCCTGACACGCGCTCGCGGTTACGTTTCCGGCTCTAGCAGCTCGGGGGTGGGCAGCAGCCCGATGCAACCCAAGGCACCTCTGCGTTATCGAAAGCTTGTTTGGCAGCTGTCCATGGCTTTGCTTTACCTGGTCAGCGGAGCAATGCTGGTCTCGAGACAGCTGTTTGTCGCCGAGACTGCGTGACGCTGGTCGAGACGTAGCCGGCCGACGGGGAGCTTGGCCGGCCTTGGCCGAGGTCAGCAGATGCAGTCCGCATCCAATCGCAGCGAGCCCGGTCTCCGCCCAGGGGGAGGTTACCGGTGGTGAATTTTCCAAACTCCTCTGCATGCCTCCCTCTGGTGCTGCTTCCGCCATGTTTGCTGCGTGTCAATGGAAGAGGCTGTGAGGTGCTGGTGGTGCTGGCTGGGCTGCGGAGAGTCCATGCGCGGTGTTTCGTGTGCCGCACGGTGAGGGCATATGCTTGAGCAGCGAGATCGGATGAACCGATCGGTTGCTCGGTGATGCTTGTTGTGGAACAGGACGCGCCGCGAGTGCGAAGCCGCAGCGACCAGTGACATTCCGTGGACGACGACGAGGCAGGAGGACCGAGACGGGTATACCCGGTGTGTGCAGTCGGGGTTGATGAATGCACAACGATGCGCGCCACGAATGTCACAAGGGCGGCTGCAACTGGGGCGCTCCACTGCTCGGCTCTACCGGCCACCGCCCGCCGGCCAGCCAGCCAGCACCTACTCCACCACCCTCGTCTCCACCCCTCCCTCGCTCATCTCTCTCCATCGCCCCTTGTCCTTGTTCACCTGTTGCACAAAGCCACTGGCGGCGACTGTGCACCGAGCTCGACCCAAACATCCATCCATCCCTTGCTTGTCCACCGCCGATCGCGCCCCCTAAAGCTCTGTGCTGACAATTGTCCTTTTTCGCTCATTGCCTACCGACCTCGCTCGTCTTCCTCGCCTGTCTTCCCCTCTCCCGACTCTGATCCCTTTCGCCGCAAAACATCTCACACACATACACACACATACACACTCGACCCGAACATTCGACTACCCTGGCGACTCGCTTTTCTCATCGCCTCTTCATCCGTGCTCCACCTCTCGTCGACTTCACCGCGTCTCTCCCCCTCCACTCAATTGGTCACCGCACCCGCGCCGCGTGCCCCACCGGCTCCTCAAAACTTTTTTGTTCGACCCCCCACGTCGCCCCGGCCTTCCCCCGCGCAACACTTGCATCCCACATTGTACTCGTCATCACTTTCCGAACACGACGTTACGACTGCAGTCGTTGCTCTTAAAGGCCCACCTGTGATTGTATAGGGCTTCCCCGAGCAACCCCTCTTCCATTTGGCCCGGTTTTCTTGATCATGTCTACTGAGGCTTCTCCGCAGCAGGCAACTCATCTTCAATCCGTGTACTCTCAAGTTCCTCCCCACATGACTACCGCTCAGGACCCCCAGGACCGTGGCTACGCCAACGCCGGTCAGCAGCAGCAGCAACAGCAGCAGCAGGACTCGGCCCCCGACTCGCCCGCGGTCCAGACCCCCGTCACCAAGGGCAAGAATGGTGCGACTGGCCCGGCCGAGGGCAAGCCCAAGCCGCACGTTTGCCCCATCTGCCAGCGTGGCTTCACGACTGGCGGACACCTGCAGCGTCACCAGCGGATACATACGGGCATCAAGGCGTTCAAGTGCCCGTACCCGGGCTGTGAGACGCGTACCAGCCGTCAGGACAACTTGCAGCAGCACTACCGCACCCACCTTTCCCCCACTCTCCGTCGTGGCTCGGGAACCGCCGCCCGCCAGGCCGTCGCCGCGGCGATGATGGCTGCCGGTCTCAAGTCGTCGACCAGCAGGCAGCCCCGCAAGTCGAAGAACTCGCAGGTTGGCACCCCTGGCTCGTCTTCTGGCGCCTCTGTCACCCACGGCCAGTCGCCCTACCAGACCCCCACCCAGGCGACCGCTCCCTACGGTGGCTACATGTACGACGCGACTGGCCAGCACGGCGGCTACCCTCCCTACGGCGGCATCCCTCCTCCCGGCGTCTCCATGGCCAACGCTCAGTCGGCCCAGTCGTCTCGCGTCGCCTCGCCCGTCAACGGTCACTCGTCGGCGAGCTCTGTCCCGTCTGCTCACCACCAGCAGTACTTTGGCCAGCCGTTTGCCCAGCCCGGCGGCTACGCGTACCCGCAGTACAGCCAGTCGCAGGGTGGTTACCGCTACGGCGCCCCGAACGCGATGCCTCCTTACGGAGCGCCCCCCTCTCAGCACTCCATGTACTCTGGTGCGATGGCCCAGGACCACCACCAGCAGCACATGTACTCACCAGTATCGGCAGGTGGTTTCAGCGCTCCCCACAGCGCTCGCGACTCGTACGGTTCGGCCATGGCTCAGGGCGGCTACGCGTCGCAGCAGGTCATGAGCAACGGATACCCGGCTCGTCAGCAGACCTCGACCCCGCTCTCGGCGGGTGCTCACGAAGACATCGATCCTCGTTACCGCAGTACTGGAGCTCCTCGTGCGCTTTCTCCCCGCCGCAGTAGCCTGACTCAACAGGGTGATCTCCTCGCTGCCAGCTCGGCCAACGGCGCCTCGTCCTCCACTGCGCAGGCGAGTGCTGGCACCTCGACCGCGCGCGGCACCCAGCAGTTGCAAGCTTCGGCTCAGTCGTACTCGTACGCCCCCAGTGCGCACCTGTACGGTAGTGCCCAGCACAGCAACGGCATGGCGCAGCCTAGTCGCGATGGTCCTTCTCCGATGTCGTACAGCGCACGCCCCAGCGTTGCCAGTTTGACTGAGGCTAATGGGTCGTCGAAGGGTGAGTACCGATAAGCACGTGGGGGTGCATGGTTCGAAACCTAAGGGAAGGAGGAGCTAGGCTCGTGATGTGGCGCAAAGGGTCGCAGGAGAGAGATATGGAGGAGGAGGCTCTGCGCGCCAGCACCATCGACGACTTTGCGACGCCGCAACGACGCCACCGACTTTGAGACATATCCACCACCACCTTCCTCGATACCCCGGCTGTCGAAGGCTGACCATTCCAGCATACTACTCGATCAAGCACGAATAGAACTTTTTTGACTTTTTATCTTGCATGTACTTTTTCCGCGTTCCTCTCGTCTCCGCTCGCGCTCTCAACAAATCAAGCAAACCCCAATCACCATCAACACCAATTACCACCCTCACACTCCACACTTCCACCATCAAAGAACGCTCTCCGTCTCATAAAATCCACGAAACACCACCATCACATCCTCCTCCCTTTACCCAGCACATCCCCGCGGTCCCACCCGTCACAACCTTGGGTTATACCAGGCCTCCAGACTATGCATGTTGGTCCGAAAACTGTGTTGCAAGTTACAATGAAGATTAAAGTTTCAGGCCCAGGTGGTCGTCCCTGGGTGACTGACCCCCCTAGGACAAGCGGGCAAGCGCCTCCCGTTCAGCCTTGGGCAGCATGAGTTCCGTCATTCTCCAGCGTCTATTACTCTTAAGGCCAGCAATAACCTGCTTGATCCAATCATCGTTACCGCTCCCAGCTCCAGCCCGGAGGGCACGCAGAATAAGCCCAAGCGCATCAGGATCAAGCAGGCCGTCCATGACCTTGGAGATCACGGCGGGCGTGTAGTGCCGAAGATAGGCGAAAGCGTCCTGTGGCGAGAGGCCGGCAAGTGTGCGCAGGAGGGAGAGACCGGCCCCGGCTGCTGTGGAGTGCGGGTTGGAGGGCGGGGCGAAGCTGGGTGCGGGCTGGGCCGGTGGTTGGGGAGGTTGGGCGCGCTGAGAGGGAGCGGGCTGAACAGCTGGAGGTTGAGGAGGCTGAACAGCTTGAGCAGGCGGGGCAGACTGGGAAGCAGCAGGCCGAGGATTGGGAGTGGGCACGGGCGAAGGGACGCCAGACTGGACCGCAGACTGGACCGCAGACTGGACCGCAGACTGCACCGCCGTGTTCACAGCAGAGGGGACAGCCGACGGAGGAGCGGTCTGGACCAACGGCTGCCTCACATGCGCAGGCGCACTCTGAGCAGGAGGCGTCGTCCGCGTCGTGCTGACGGGCACGAGGCCCGGCATCCCGCTGCCTCCATCTGCATAGCTCCTCCGGGCAGCTTTGGCCGCCTTGAGGGCCGCAAAGGAATTCCTCGGTTCGTTCCCCGCCGTGGACACTGATGGCGTCGTCGGAGCTGTACTCGGAGGCGTAGTGTCCACGTCCATTGCCTCGCCCGATGCCTTTCGCCCCCCCTGCACCGCCTGCGTTTGTCCCGCCTGCGTTTGTCCAGCCTGCTCTCGCGCCCACCCCTCGGTATCCCTCCTCTTCTCCTCCTTCTCCCGGGCCTGTTTCTGCAAAGCCGCATCCCTCGCCCTCCTCTCGGCACTACTCTCCTGCTGCCTCTCTCTAACATCTTCGCCAGCCCAGACCCGTGCCCTCTCGGCCCTTTGCTGCTCCCCGCTCCGCGTACTCCCATCAGCGCCTTCACGCCTTATGAAGCCCTCCCGTAAACTCTGGAGACCGGCCTGCGACCCCGGATCACTCTTTAGGTGTTGGACCTCGAGATCGTTCCTTATCTCGGCAGAGAGGGTTTGGATCTCGGGCACTTGCGGAGCGGACGCGAGGGTGGAGAGAGCAGACTGCGGCTCGTTCATCCCCCTCTGTGCCAATGCTAATCTGTAGAGAGGCTTGGGGTTCGTGGGGTCCAGGTCGTGCGCGCGCGTTGCTGCTGAGAAGGCTTGTGGGTACCTGTGGTGTCAGCGCTGTCCTCGGCGTTGAAGTTCCTCTTGTTGCCATTGCCCTAGTAGACAAGAGGAGTAGGGGGACAGGGAGGGACAACCCGCTCCGCGCACTACGTTCGCGATACGTTCGCGATACGTTCGCGATCCTCGACAGCTCGCTCCGCTCGCTGCGCTCGCTACTCGCCGCACTCACTCTTGCAGATTCAACCGCGCCTGAGCCAGGTTCGACCACGCCTTGGCATCCGTGCTGTCCTGCGAGACGGCCTGCTCGTACAGATCGGCGGCGCGCGCCCAGCGGCCCTGTCGGAAGAGTTTGTTGCCCTGATGTCAGCGACGAGCGGCGCGAGGCGGTGAGCAATAGAGGAATGCGCGGCGGTGAGCAATAGAGGGGTGCGCGGCGGTATACTTTGCCTTCGTCCTCGCCACGTCCTCAGTACGTCCTCACCATCATCCCGTGACGCTGCTCTCCGCTGCCTTCTCCTTTCTCGCTGTTGTCACTCTTCCGGAGTGAAGAAGCCTTGCTCTTGTCTTCTCCGAAAGAGGAAGAGGGAAGGAAATGGGAAGGGCGGATGCGTGCGGACTCACCTCTTCTCGCAACGACATGGTGTTTATGTGGAAGTGTCCAGAAGCAACATCGCCGAACTGGGCTCGGTCATTGCCTTTGCTCCTTTCGTGCGAGATCCTTTCCGTGTGGACCTGTTTGGGGCCCCGCCGCCCTCCACCGTGTTCTACCTCCACTCCTCTGTGACTGTGACTGGCGTACTCCTCGTGTGTCTCACCGTCGCAAACTTCGTACGTGGACACAACACTCAGCCTCACACGACTTGACTGCAGGGGGAGGCCGTGGGAAAGGATGAATCTAGACAGGACGTCCTCTGATGCTGACCCCATCCACTAAACCTCTTCTTACGAGGATGTTTCCTCATTTACTTCGCACCCTCCGCCCTTTCTCTGCCACACAACACCGACAGGCAACACACCGGCGACACACCCCGCGATAGCACAGCTGACGCTGTGCTCCGTGCTATATGTAGCCCTATTCATGCGATGGACAAGTACACTATGCTATGTCTATTACAACGAGTGCTTTAATCTAGGCTCTCTTTTTGGGTCACACGCTGTTTCTCTACTTCCTCGGTCTCTCTGGCGCCATTAATGCTCTCGCGCACTCCTTCCTGACGATGCCGAGGCCCACGCTTGCTCAGACGCCCACCTGCCCATACGCTCGCTCGCTCACGCTGCGCGTTCGCTTGCTCACCCAGACGCCGCTCGCTCGCTCATGCCCGGCGCATCGACTTCCTCGGCCTTGCCTTGTTCGGCGGCGAGGTCTTTGGCGACTCGGTCTTGCCCTGCCTCGTGCTTGCGCGCGTGATGCGGCGCGGTGGCTCTGCGGGCGCCGGCTCCTGGCTCTCCGGCGGCGAGGAGAGGTCGCTCGTCGAGTCGCCTGCCAGCTTGCGCTTGCCCTGTACGGGCTCCATGCTGACGTCGCGGGCGACATCGACTGGCCTTATCGTCTCCTTGGCTCCCGCCTTTGGCGTCGCCAGGTGCCCATTCTCCCGCACGTCCGCGCGACTAGCCGGCAGGGGCGTCGCGAGGTTGTCGTCTGCGTCCGCGTCGACCGTCTTGTCCCGCGGCGGCGTGATCGGGTCCATTGCCTGGGCTTCCTCGCGCTCGTCGGCCGAGGCCAGGCTGCTCCCTACCATCGCCGTGTGGATGCGCAGCTTCTCCATCGGCTGGGAAAAGGACTCGTCCCCGCTCGCGCCAGAGGGGCCGCTCAGGTGCTCCGCGTTGCTGCTGTCTCCGTAGTTGGTCATACTGACCGTCTGCGGGCGCGTCCACGCCGTCGCCTCCATATCGACGTCGTCGCGGTCGTCGTCAAAGTCGATACTGTCGAACGACTGGATGTTCCACATCGAGTCGCCACCCAGCGCCTGCGACTGTGACTCGTTCGGCAGTGACGACGGGCCCGCCAGCCACTCGTGCTCCAGCGCCTGAGCCATCGTCATGCGCCGCTGCGGGTCCTTTTCCAGAAGCCGCGCGATAAAGTCAACACCGAGCTCCGTCACACCCTTCTCCTCCAGCGTCTGCCGGTCAAAGTCGAGGTCGAATCGGGCCCGGATGCGCTGCTCCATTGTCAGGTCCGAGTTGTCGTCGAAAGGGAGCGCCTTGGTCATCATTCTGGGGTCAGCTAGGGTAAATCTTCGCGTAGCTCACGAGTAGACAATGCACCCGATGGACCACGAGTCGACAACATTCTCGTAGCCAGGCTTCTGCCGTGTTTGCATGACGATCTCGGGGGCGAGGTACTGCGGTGTGCCGACCATCGACCTGAGCATCGTGCCAGCGTCCACCATCTTGGCGAGACCAAAGTCGGCTATCTTGATCATGCGGCCCTGCGACGACGACTCTTTCGTGAGCAGAATGTTCTCCGGCTTCAGGTCTCGATGCGTAATGCCGTTTTCGTGCTGCGGTCAGTTCCTGTAAACGCCGGTTAACTCACGCAGTAGGCCATCGCGCGGCAGATCTGGAATGTCAGGTCCGCAGCCTCCTCTTCCGCTGAGGTTAGCGTGACAGCAGCTAGTACAACCCACGCAGTCCGCCTTTCGTATCCATGATGTAGTCGAGGAGGTCGCCGCCGTCAATGTACTCGAGGACGAGGCAGATGTGTTGCGGATCCTGGTACGACTCGAGGAGGCGGCAAATGTTGTCCTGCTTATCAGCGGCGTGTGTGCGTCAGACTTACGTGTGTGAGCTGCTGGCAAATGTCGATCTCGCGCTGGAAGAGCTCGAGCGTCTTGGGGTTGTTGCCGAAGCGGTGCTTGACGATTTGCTGCATGTCAGAAAGTGCGATCGCCGCATGCCGATCCGTATGACTCACTTTGATAGCTCGCAGGTCACCGGTCTCGACGTCAACCGCCTTCCTCACCTCTGCAAAGGTTCCTTTTCCAAGCCTAATGTCAGCTTATACCGCATGAGCTAGCTCACGTTCCGAGCATCTGGTACCGCTCGTACACCTCGCCGACTGGCTCCTCCATCGCCTTGCCCTTGTGCCCGACCGAGCGGAAGATGTAGCGCACGTCGTGGTTAACGAGCGTTTCCTGGTGTCCAAGGCTGAGCTCGTCACCGTGAATCAGCATACGCTTTGTCTTGAGCCGTTCTCCGTTCACCTGTGGTCAGTTTTGAACGGCGTTTGCACAACTCACAAAAGTGCCATTACTGCTCTTCAGGTCCTCGATCCAAACCTCCGGCTCCCCCTCGCCCTCTTTCAGCTGCTCGATGACGGCCGACTGCGTCGTCGCATTCCCGTTCGGCGCATGCAGTCCGAGAGTGATGACGGCGTGCCGGTTCGATACGCGCTTCTCTTGTAACACGACATCGTTCTTGACCGAGGCGTGGGCGCCGCGTCCGATCTGGAGCCGAGGCTTGGCCCACGGCAGCTTCAGAATGTCGTGTTGCGGGTTCGTCGGGATGAGGATGGCCCCTGGGAGTCAGCTGCAGTCGTGCGAACTCAGCTGCCTGCCGGTGGCAAGGTGCAGATGCGATACTCACAGTACTTGCGCCTAGGCTCGACCTGGGAGTTGGCGAATTGGCTCGCCTGCTGGTCGGGCAATGGTTGGGAGAGCTGTGTCGCCTCGAGTCCGTAAGCCTCGTAGCTGTCTCTGTCGAGAGACTCCTCTTCGATGGACTCGGGGACGAGTGCCATGGTGCCGACAGCTGGAGGGGCGCAGTGTGTGAACGAACGTGTTGGAGTGATGGGGGAAGGTGTGCGATCGGGGTGCCAACTCTTATAGCAGCAGCGGGGTGGGACGCGTGGTGCGCTTGCGCAGTGTGGCTTGTTTCCGGGTATCGCGCAGGGAACTGAATGGACTGATGTGTGGACAAGGACAAAGGTAGAGTGTGATGAGTCGAGTAGGATGTAGGTTGTCGGTCGAGTGTTGTTTTGGCAACTTGACCTAGCCCTCTCTCTCTCTCTCCGCACCAGACGTTCCTCATTCCTGCCTGACCATGGATCCTGAGTGAGACCTTGCCATGACCAACTTGCGACGCGTCCGGAAACAAACCCACGCGTAGAGCATATATCACGTGAGTTCCAACCTCCACCTGGCTACATGCGGTCACCCAGCGGGCACCAAGGAGGCAGGAGGGACGGGGGCAGATTACCGGTTGAAGGCGGAGGGTGTCATCGCGATCCTAGTCGACCGTAACGTCGCAACCACAACTCGCCACTAGTCATTTCTCACACTAATCGCTCACCACGAGCCCACCATGGCCGACAAGACTGACGCCGCCGTGTCCAACAACGACGCCGCCAAGGACGACGCCAAGGTCGACACCCCTGTCGCCGACGCCGCTCCCACGACGCCTGCGACGCCTGCTGCGGACACCGCCTCGACTAGCGATGCCAAGAACACCGATGCCGATGCCGGCGACAAGAAGGACGGGGACAAGATGCCCGCTGCGGCCCCGGCACCGACGATTGAGCAGTCCCTCGAGGAGGGTATCGGTAATGTCGTCAAGGGCTTCGGCTCCATCTGGGGCGTCATGAAGGCGAGGGTGAGTACGACGAGCGTTGCGCAGCAACGCATGGGCGTTCCGAAGGATCGCTCTTCCGCCAAGGGTACCGTCCGTGCCCTTCTTTTACAGAAGCTACTCAGCTTAGGTGCGGCCTGTAGAGCTAACGATCAGTCCGCGAACACGCTGAAGCAGGTCCAGACGCAGGCGAACAAGACCTACCAGCAGCTGCAAGACGACATGAAGACGCTGCAGGAGACCAAGGTTGAGGTGACAGCGAAGAATTCGGCGCAGTGGGAGGCGGAGCAGGAGGAGGCGAAGCGGAAGAAGGAGGCTGCCGCCGAGGCTGAGGCGAAGGCGAAGGCGGAGGCGGCGGAGGACGAGAGCTCCGAAGATCCCTCCGACCCGAAGGGCAAGGGCAAGGCGCGCGCGCGGGACACGCCTGAAGCGGGCCCGATCGCAGACGCTGAAGCGACGGCGCGCTCTCTCTTCTCCCGCCTCAGCACCCAGACCTCGGCGCTGCAGAACACGCTCCAGTCATCTCTCTCGACGACGCTGGCCAGCGCCCGAGCGAGCGGACTCGACGACCCGGCGGCCCTCCGCGCGCGTCTGGCCGAGAACCTGCGTCTCTCGGAACTGAAGCTGAGCCTGCAGCAGGCCGAGAAGCTTGCGGAGGGGTACGTCGCCAAGGGCCGGGGCGCGGCCGAGGCGTGGGCGGCCGAGGCCGAGCGCTGGGTCGAGGAGAACGTGAAGGTCGTCCCGCCGCCGAGCAATCTGCCCAGCGGGGGCTTCGACGCCGGGGAGTGGTACGCCTTCACCACCAGTGCGCCAGCGACGGGTCCCGCGACGCCGCGCACCGAATCCCCTGCGCCGGGGCTGGGTCCCATCGCCGGGTCGAGGAAGGAGGCCCTTCTCGCGCGTTTACGCGCCGATACAGCCCTGTTGCTCGTCGACCCGGCCGCGGAGACCGAGTCAAAGGAACGGAGGGAGGAGTACGCGAAGTGGATTCGGGAGAATGCCGAGAAGATCCCGGGCGAGAAGGAGAAGGAGGTCGGCAACGTGGGCGAGATCCGCATGGCGCTCGTGCCCGAGCAGCTCGACGATGGCGAGTTCTGGACCCGGTACCTCTTCCACAGGGACATGATTGAGGAGCAGGAGAAGAGGCGCAAGGCGCTGCTGATGGGTAAGTTAGCTCGAGCGGAGCGAGAGCGCCAGAGCGCCAGAGCGCAACTGCGGAACGCAGCTACGGAGCACAGCTACGATTCCAAGGTGTGGTAGCTGACATACAGCCACGAGCACGACCGAGGACGAGGAGGACTTTTCCTGGGACGACGGCGACGACGACGACGAGCAGCCCACCCCGACTACCAGCATTAGCAAGGACAAACCGACGCCTTCGTCCACTAGCACCGCTACGCCCGCCCCCGCTGCCCCCGCCGCCGCTCCGGCCGAGAAGGACGCCAAGGCCGAGCCCAAGCCGAGCTCCAAGGCCACGTCCCCGAGGGACAGCGAGGAGAGCTACGACGTCGTCAGCGGCCGGACGACGAATACGGCAGCGACGAGCGACAGTGATTCTGACTGGGAGTAGAGCGCGACGAACTCGACGAGCAAAGCGAAGCGAGTCGTGCGAGTCGTGCGGCGCCCTTCACTTCATGTCAGAGCAGGCTCGCTCGGTCCTCGCTTAGTCCTCGCCCCTCACCTCATCCAGTCCGAGCGCAGCGAGGACTAGAATCTTGTAAATAAAACTTGCATGTAACATATGTACCGAGCAGCACACAAAGGTTGCTCCAGAATCGCTAGCTAATCGGGGGAATCCTTTTACAATAACTTAGAAAACTAACTTTGGAATGGGGGTTGGGGATGGAATAATACTCGTCGTTGCTCGAATTTCGTTCGTTGGTATGTATGTCGGGGTCTCAGTTTTCGTTGGAATCCATAACGTTACGTTTGGTGATATATCGGGTGTCAAAGGAGGGTGAGCGGGTGTCGCACTCTGGGCCCCTCTTCACTCCTTCTCTCTCTCTCCGCGAGGCAGTCGGCCCTCGCAGGACGAGCACAGGTCTTCGCAGGTCCTCGCAGGACTCGCTGCGCTCGTCCTGCTCGCTGCTCGCCGCTCGCTGCTCAGTCCGCCTTCAAATGCCCCACCATAGCACTAACCTCACGCCCATCAACCCATTCCCCCGTCCTAAGCCCGACCTTGACTTTCCGCGCCCCCGCCTCGTCGGCATTGGCCAGCGCCTGCCCCGCCGCCATAGACTGCGCGACTTCGCGCGCCGCCTCGGCCTCGTCCGCCTCTGCTACGCCTGCATCCCGCTCGCCGGCCTGCAGACTGCCGAGGGCGGCTTGGTCCTGCGCCTCTGTGCCGTGGTACTGTCCCTCGGACAGACTATGCGAGCCCGAGGAGTACGTCGCACTGCTGTAGGCGTGGGGGTAGGGGAACTGCGCGCCCCCCGCCGGCTGGGGATAGAGCGTTGGTGATTTTGAGGGAGAGGACGGCGGGGGTCCGTTCGGCTCGGCGGACTGGGTTTGCGCTAGCTGCGCTGTCGCGGGGAGGTTCGGGTGCGGGGTCGGGAACTGCATCGAGGCGCCCTGCTGTGGCGTCGGAGCCGTTATGGCCTGGCCGGCCGTCCAGGCTGCGTTCTGGCCCGCCTGCGCTGAGGTGGGCTGCGCGCACGCCGGGCGCGTCGGTGCATCGTTCAGCACGGCCTGTACGCAGGCCGCGCCTGGCGCTCCGGGGCCGTTCGCCTGGTTCACAGCGTACTTGGCTGCCAGGTACGAGGCGTTGTTGGTCGCTTCGGCGCGGGTGTGTTCCCCACTCAACCTCGCTAGGGTTGGCCGGTGCGCTTCCGCGCTCATGCGCATCTCGTTGCGCTCGTCGTGCTCACATCCGACCGGTTTCACGAGCTTGTGCGGTGACTCGAGCCCGGCAGGGCGTAATGACGTGTCGCCGCCGCGCATGACGCTCATTAAGAAGTCGAGGAAACGGTGCCCGTACGTGTCCGGGTCGACGCAGGAGATTGTGATCGCGTTCTCCGTCATGCTCTTCCACGCGTGCTCTATCCGCTTGGAGAGGTTGTAGGGCGTGCAGATATCGATGATGCCGACATAGTAGATCATGTCCATGGGCTGGTTCTGCTCGTCGGTCGCCTGCAGACCGCCCTCGTCCTGGTAGAACAGGAAGTGGCGGCGGTCCGCTGAGCCGCCCTGCGGCAGCTGCGACGACGCGTTTAGCAGCCGCTTCGGGTCCGAACGTGCCACTGCCCGGCGCACCGTCTTCGCCTCGGCGCCTGCCTTGACGCTCGACGGCTTGCGCCGCACAGGCATCGTCTGCGGGTTGAACACGGCGAGAGTCGTCTCACGCAGGTTGTCCCGGTTGCCGCGCTCCATGTTGTGGATACCGACGAGCAGCGAGTAGTCCATGACGTTGATCTTCTTGAGGAACTCCATGTCGCGACGCAGCTGCTCGGTCAAGAGCGCACGCTTCTCGGGACCAAACTCGAGCGTCCGGCCGCGGTTCACCCAGTTGATGTCCTTCAGCACCGCTCGAGGGTTCGTCTTGGCCTTTTCTTCCGGGTATTCGCGTCCGTACGCCGAGCCCTTCAGGTCGTACGTCTCGTGGATGTCGCGGTGCGGCGGGAACAGGTTGTTCATAATGACGAAATGGATCTTGCGCCCGCGCGGCATCTTGACACGATGCAGACCGTAGAAACGCGACAGCAGCGTGTGTGGATTGTTGCGAACATGCTCGTGGTAGTCCTTCAGAATCGAGCGCATGAAGCAGTGCTCAGAGTGCGAGATCGTCTTGATGATGAACCGGTAGTCGCGCGAGTAGTAGAAGAAACTGCCCGACTTGCCCGGCGATCCCAGCTCGCTCAGAATATACTTGGCCGTCAATGACAGCAAGTAGTCGGCCGGGTCGATGTGGAAGTAGTCCTCGCGCAACTCGCGGAACACCCACGGCGCATAGTCTTTAAACTTGAAGTCGTACTTGGCCGACGGCGTCAGCTCGTTGCCGAGCATATCGAACGAGTACTTGTGTCGTGCGACATAGTCCTCCTCGGTCAGCGGCCGCTTGATTTTGGCTTGGCATCGGGACACGGCCACTCGAATGCCCGTCAGCATGTTGTACATGAGCACATAGTTGCGGTGCCCCTCGCCGACGAGGTTGCCGACAAGAACCTTTGCCTCTTCCGTCTCCTTGCGGCGCACGGTCACGCGGCGGTCGGGCTTTTGCGCAGGCCCAGCCTGTTTCGGCGAGGATGCGGTGCCGTCTGCGGGATCGACCGTGATGTCGGGCGCCTGCTGCGGTGAGACAAGAAGGCTCATCTTCTTCTGGCGCTTCTGGAGTCGCTCCCGCCTAAGGATGTCTGCCTGAGCCAAGATGTCGGGCGGCAAGTTGATATTGCCATCGAGCGACTGTTGCGGACCATGTCCTGTTGACGACACACTGCTGCTAAGCACGCGAGGTGCCATAGGCGGTGTGGGTTGTGTCGGGTTTGTGTTCCGTCGCTGTGGGGCGGGACGTCCGGCGGCTGGCGGTGGCAATGGTGATGAAGAAACCGAATTCGGAAGGTCAACGGCGTTGAAAGGCGGCGACGAAAACGAGTTGCGCGGCAGCGAGCTCGCATCGTCGTCCGTCAGCATCCCTCGACCCCAGTCGGGAGATGCGCCGGGTTGAGGATCCCGCTGCGGCGCCAGTCGTCCACTTCGAACCATCGACAGGCTTCCGGCGCGGCTCGACGTGGAGCCGCTCGACACTCGCCGCGCCATCATGAATGGAGCGACGGGTGGCCGCTCAGTCGAGGCGTCTCGCGAGTATGCCGACGGTGGTGGCCGATGTGAACCCTCGCTCGCGTTATCAATCGAGGGCGCAGGCAGCCGATGTGATCCTTCGCTCATCGTGTCGATCGAGGGAGCGTATGCGGCGGTGGGCGTCGGGGCGTCATCCTCCTGCGGTTCCGGCTCGGACACGAGCGCTCCTCCAAACGTGGGCGCGGGTGGCTGTTGAATCTGCTGAGGCTGTGGTGAGGGCTGAATAGTCTGCGGCGTTTGCTGCTGCAATGGCAATGCGTGAGTGCTCTCTCCCGCCTCCGTGACGGGTTGCAATTGCGCGCTGAGACCGGAAGCTGGCGGTGTCGCGAGATCATTTGGCTCGACTCCCGTAGAGCCGACCGATGCAGCAATCACGACCTTCTCCTGGTGCGAGATGTTGTTCCGGTCCTCGAACACGGCCGACACAGTCGTTGCCTCCGTGACAGCGACGCTCGGGGTGTAGTCACCGTCGCTGGCATCGCTTAGGGGCGGACTTGGCGGCGCGCCCTGCATGACGGGGCTGCGCTGGCGATGCGGAGACGCGAATCGGCGCGCGGCGTCCTTGCTGTCTGGTGTTCGGCGGAAGACGTTCGATACTTTCTTCATGATACGTCTTGGTCCGGGCTCCTCGATCTCGGCCGCCGGTGCCAGCTTGGCGTTTGGCGTCCTGGGTGCCGCGAACCCGTTCGTGTTCGCGCTCACGTTCGCGTTCGCCTTTGAGTCCAGGTCGAGGGAGAAGCCTCGTGGTCGTCCTCGCTCCTCGTCGAGGGAGAAGAAGCGCTCGTTCTCGTCGTCACTGTCGTCGCTGTCGGGCTCCTGGGACGTGTCCGAGTCGCCCTCGTCGTCAGTCGCGGTCTCGCCCGAAGCCAGGCGTTGGAGGTGTGGGGGAAGGGGAGGTAGCGGGTCGTCCGAGTGGTCGGGGTGATGCACGAAGTGGTAAGGATTTATGCGCGGGGGCGAGGCGGAGCCTGGAAGGAAAGTCAGCATGCACGTTTTGGAGTGTTGAGTGTGATGGGCCGTGGGCTCTCGGCGCCCAGGGCGTGGGTTTTCGGCGGGCGGCGGGCACGAGAGATCCTGCAGGCGTTGCGCGCCCCGGAATGGCGTTGCAGCCTGCCTTCGAAATGCAACTCACGGCCGTTGACGGTGTACGGTGTCCAGTCGTCATTGTCGTCGTATCGTTGCTGCGTCGCAGCGACGGCGGGGGTGCCCATGGGCTGTGATGCCGGGCGGGGGGATGGTGTGGCCGGGTGTATGCAGTCGGGGGGTTGAGGAATCGAGGGTTCAGTCGGGGATCAAAAGGTCGGCGCGTGGAGGAAGGGCGATCGGTGGTGGAGTGTTGGTGATGGTGTCTAGTCCGGGGTCGTGAGTAGTCGGGGGTTGTCGATGCAAGGGAGGGAACAAGGACTGTGAGAGTGTGTGTAGCAGATAAGAGATGACAAGCAACAGGCGAAAGGAGAGTAGTAGTGGTAGTAGCAGTAGTGCAAGAGTGAGTGTGCTGGGTGGATGGTCGCTGCGGAATGAATGTCTGCATCGAGTGCTACGGTGGTGGCCAAAGCTTGGCCCCTTGCCCCTCTCGGTCTTCCCGCGCCGCCAGTAGGTACACCACACACGTGACTCTTCCTGAACGCAGAGTCTGTTCTCTTTCTGACACCGGGAACGAGTTACGGGAATGCGTGCGCAGCAGAGTCTTCGTGTCGTGTCTTCTGCAGATCTGACTGACAGAAGCACAGAAGGCAGAATGCATGCATGCATTGCAATGCAGTGATGATCGCAGATGTGGAGCTTGACACGGGGAGGAGGCGCTGTATCCGGCCATCGCAACTCGCAGCACTTGCAGTGCATCGCGACACGGCCACCGCAGGGAAATCAGGAGTCCAGACCTGTCTCACAATCAGGCTTGCAGCCGCACTAGTACGAAGGCTCGCAGGATGGAACAAGGGAGGCAAGAGGCAGGCGCGCCACCACGTGGAAATTGCCGGCCCTCGACTTACAGAGACGCGTGCCTGATTCTAGGTCTGTCAGCGAGATAGCATCGAGATATTTCGACGGACACAACCCTAGGCCCGCATTTCGTCATATCCGTCTCTCCGCTCCGACGTCCCACATCGCCGTCGCTTGGGGCTTATCGTTGCGATTCAACACACATCATCATGATACCGAGAGTACTCCGGCCATCATCGACACGCGTGCTCACGCCTCGGACTGGAGCCCTCCTCGGGGCTAGGGGGATCGTCGCCCCTGCGCCCGAAGATGCTGTCGGCGCAAGCAAGCCTGCCGCCGCCAAGCTGAAGAAGAACGTCCTCGAGGTATCTGGCCCCGACGCTGCCAAGTTCCTCAAGGGTCAGATGTGCAAGGACGTCGAGACGCTGGGCGGTGGCTACAGTGGTTTCCTGAATGCTAGCGTGAGTACACTCTCACTTTGTGCGCCTTCCCCGTCTTCCCTTCCTCGGAGGAAGGTGATGTTACGGAAAGCGCATTCGCGGGCTACATCGCTTCCTCCCTTAGCTGAAGTAAGGAGTGTGTGGAGCTGACAACAGGGCCGCGTCCTGCACACCGTCTTCTCCATCCCGACACCGAAGGGCTACCTCATCTCTTGGGAGCCCGGATCGCCCTACCCTCTGGAGGAGTTGCTCAAGCCCTTCCGTCTCCGCTCAAAGGTCAAGTTCCGAGACGCAACAGAGGAGTACGACGTGTGGTCCGCTTGGGGTCTCCCCGCGTCCCCGGACCCGAAGCACCAGTGGCGTTTTGGCTCGGGCGGAGCTGCTGAGCGGCTATGGAGCTGGGACGGCGACCGCGCCCCGTTGAACCTGAGCGAGGGCGAGGCAGGGACTTGGGATCTCCGAGCTGGCTTTGGACCAGAGGCGATGGGCAGGATGGTGTTTGCGCCGAAGGGAAAGAAGCGTGAGTACGGCCTGTGCAGCGCCATGAAGCAATTCCGTCATGACCCCTCCCAGCTACCCTCATACCGGAACGCTAGCTGACCCCAGCCTCCGTTCTCAGCGAGCACGACGAAGTCGCCCTGCGTGACTACACCCGTCGGCGCATGTCACTCGGTATTCCAGAGGGTGACGCAGAGATTGTACCAGGCCAGGCCCTCCCGCTAGAGTCTGACATGGACATCCACGGCGGTGTCGACTTCCGCAAGGGCTGTTACCTTGGCCAAGAGTTGACTGTACGGACGTACCACACGGGAGCCACCCGCAAGCGTCTCTTGCCCCTACGCCTTTACCCGCTGGGCACCTCCAGTTCGCCGGACACGACGAAAGCCGCCGTCGACTCGCTTCCCCCAGCCCCGAAGCTGGATGGACCAGCAGACCTGAAATGGGTCCCACCCTCTGACGCCAAGTCACAGCGTCCCAAGCCGGCGGGCAAGATCATGGCCGTGCTGGACGGAGAGGAGGAGGGCGGCCTCGGTATGGGCCTAGTGCGTTTGGAGTACGCCGAGCGGGCGTGCTGGGGCGGTCTGTCTGGGCAGCTGCAGGCCGAAATCAACGGGGAGAAGTGGATGGTGGATGTGGACATGGGCGAGGCGTTCGGGCAGGCGGAGAAGATCAAGCCCCCGCCGCCGCCCCCGGAGGACGACTAGGCGAGCCGCAGGCGAGGCGAAGCCGATTGAGGGGGGAGTGGGGGTTAGAGTAGATTCAGAAGCAATGCATTCACTGTTCGCAATAATGTTCTGCATGTGTCTATGTTGTCTTAGAGCATGTCGTCAACAGCCAGCTCTTCCATTTTGGCGACGACGTCGTCCACCTCAGCCTTTCCCTCCTCCTTCGTCTCCTTCACCTCTCCCTTGGCGGCCGCCTTAGCCTCCCACTCCTCCCTCAGCCGTTTCCGCTCAGCTTCCTCCTCCTTCTCCTCCCTAGTGCACTTAGCGCAAACACACCAAAACCCATACCCGTCCCTGAGAGCTTGCCTGCGCGCACGACGGGGGAGGTTGAAGTCGACATACGACACAGTGAGCTCGTCACCCGGGTGAATGGTGCGGCGCGCGAGCATGGTCAGCTTGTGGGTTCCGCGCACGCCGCGCGGATTGGCGTCGGGCAGCGGGGCGGGGAGGGACGTGGGGGGCGTCCAGTGGCGGGGGAGATTGCGCACCTAAAAATCGATCAGCATACATTCCCTCTCCAATATCTTCAATCCTCAATCAAGCAGACTCACCTGAACATTCGGCTCGCAGGAATGGTTCATATGGCAGTGGAGCGCATACAGGCCCCCGCTGTCCTCGAGGTTGATATTGACCAGTCCAAGCAAATCAAGGAAGGCGTCGTACGAGAACCACCTCGCTTCCTCTTCCGCGGTCAACGGCTGGATCTTGCGTCCCTTCGCGCGCGACTGGAGCACCGCGTTGAACTTCTTCCCACCCGGCGTGCTCGGCGCGGGGTTCAGCGCCGCGACGAGTGCGGCGTGTCCGTCGCGCCACTGGGATTCGACTTGGGCGGAGCGTTTCGGCCTGCATGTCAGCTTCAGTCCCAACCCGATCCAGCTCGGCAGGGAGCGCGGGTGAAGTCAGGTGAGCGGGGAGAGCTGGCCACCCTTCGCTCGCCCGCCCGCCTCGCTACGCTCGGCGCACTCACCAGTCCTCCTTCCCCTCCTCCCTCGTGCGCATGTTCATGCGCGCCATACTCTCCCAGATGCGCTTCTCGATCGCCTCCGCCGCCCCTTCCTCGCCCCAAGCCCGCTCGCCGCGCCACTTGGCCAGAATGCGCGCCGCAGCGTCCATACTCCGCCACTCGCGCTCCTTCATGAACTTGTTGAGCTTGGCGGCTCCGGGATTGACGCCCTCGCAGAGTAGCACATGGTGTGAGCCGGAGCTAGAGCCGCGCGACATGCACAGCCTGTTGCAGAAGAAGGCGTCGCTGCAGTCCTTGCATCCCACCACGGTTGGCGGCGGTGGCGCCCACAAGGCAAGACAGTGCGTGCACAGCGTCCTGTCACGGCAGTACTCCTTGATCTTCGGGTCGGGGGTGGCTACGAACGGCTCCTCCTGCCAGAGCATCTCGCCCTGCTCCAGCTTGCTCCGCGCGACTAGGCCCTTGCCCTTCGTGCCCCCAAAGAGCTTCGCCTTGACCTTTGGCGCGAGCGAGGGGATGTCGAGCGTCTTGTCCAGACCCGTTTGGGCCACGAGCTCGTCCTCGGCAACCTTGCCCGCCGGCATGGAAGTCGAGGCGTTAGACGTCCCGCCGAGGGAAGAGAGCACCTTGCGGAATCGCTTCTCCGACACTGTCCACTCGGGATGCGCCTCCTTCAGCGCTCCCCACAGCTTGACGATGCCGAGATCGGGATGAGCGGCTCGGACGGCCGTAACGGCCGCGGCCAGCTCCTCGTCCGCTGGCGACGGCATTGTGTGTAGTGGTGTATGTGACGTGTTGCCAGCTCTCGACGCTCTTCACTGTGGATCGCTCGTAACCCCCATCGCACATCGCTCGACAATCTCAACATTTAGGTCCCGACATCGCATCACGTGACTCACCCCACCAGGCCCCGCTCGCCACCCGAAATGTCAAAAGTTAGTTTTCCTGTTGCTGCTCACCGAGAAATAGAAATCTGGCGCACCTCGCTGTCGATCGACCCGGCAACAACACACCACACAGCGGCACAGATATCTGCGCGCTCGAACGCTCAGAGAAACCACACCATTTCCACCCTCCTCGGCCGCCTCGCCCGGGCTCTGACCCCTAGGCGCCTTCACGTCATGTCCGCCGAGACCATCAACGGCACCGCGCCGACCCCTGCTCCGGCTGCTGACGCCGCAGCTCCCGCAGCTCCCGCCAACCCCGCCCCTTCCACTTCCACCGACGTCCCCACCACCTCTGCCGAGGCGTCTTCATCTAAGCCCCAGCCCCTGCCCACGAAGCACAAGAAGCTATCGGGGTACGACTTCTACCGCGCAATCGGGAGCCCGAAGTACGTCGTCGCGCCGATGGTGGACCAGTCCGAGCTCGCGTGGCGCCTGCTGTCCAAGTCGCCTCTGCCCCCCGACGTCGCCGGACCTCCGGAGTGGATCGAGGCCCCGCTCCCCGACGGACCGGCCGGTCCCTCCCAGCCGCGCAAGTATGCGCGCTACGCGGGCGGCGCGCACCTGACCTACACGCCCATGATCCACGCAAGGGTGTTCTCAGAGTCGAGGCAAAACTCGCGCGGCGGCGACCCCCAGTTCAACATTACGTGCAACGAGGAGGGCAACCGGAAGACGCTGGCTGGGATCGAGGGCGGCGATCGCCCCCTGTTCGTGCAGGTTAGTCACCAATTGGCAGGCTCGAAATTCCCGCTTACCCTGGATGGATGGATGAGTGTAATACTGACTTTGCAGTTCTGCGCAAACGACCCCGACGTGCTCCTGTCCGCTGCGAAGAAGGTGCAGAACCGGTGCGACGCGGTCGACATCAACTTTGGGTGCCCGCAGGGCATCGCGAAGCGGGGCAAGTACGGCTCCTTCCTGATGGAGGACTGGGACCTGATTGCCCGCCTCATCTCGACGCTGCACGTCAACCTCACTGTGCCCGTTACGGCCAAGTTCAGGATTTTCCCCGAGGTCGAGAAGACGGTGCGGTACGCGCAGATGATGGAGGCGGCGGGCGCGCAGATCCTGACCTGCCACGGCCGGCTGAGGGAGCAGAAGGGCCCCGCCACGGGGCTGGCCGACTGGGACCAGATCAAGGCGGTCAAGGAGGCAGTCAGCGTGCCCGTGTTCGCGAACGGGAACATTCTCTACGCCGACGACGCCCTCCGCTGCATGGAGTACACGGGGTGCGACGGCGTCATGTCCGCCGAGGGCAATCTGAACAACCCCGCGCTCTTCGCGGACCCGAAGAGCCCCAACGCCTACGTCGCCGCCACGGCGCTGGCGCGCAGGTATCTCGACATTGTGGCCAAGCTCGACACGCCCACGGCCGGGAGCGCGATCAAGGCGCACCTCTTCCATCTCCTCAAGCCGATGCTGGACGAGCACGAGGACCTCCGCGTCATCTTTGGCAAGCAGGGCGTCGACGACAAGGTCGCGTACTACCGCGCCGCACTTGATGAGGTCGAGAGCGCTTCCCCCCTGAGCCCGTGACCATGCCCGCGACCCCGCTCGAGGAGAACGGTTACCGCAAGCTGCCCCGCTACATTGCGCAGCCGTACATCCGTGCGCAGCCCATCAGCTCCGAAATCGGCGGCGTCGAGGAGTTCGAACCCGGAGCCACGCCCGCGGGCTCCCCCGGCCCTATCGGCGGACGGGTGCACATCAACACGCCCTGCGTTGGCGAGAAGTGTGGCGGCAACGCTGCCGCGCGCTGCCCCACCACCGCGTGTCTGCTGCACTGCCGCGAGATCCGCGCCATTGCCAAGGGCATGGATCCCGCCGAGGCGAAGAAGAAGGCGCTCTCCGGCGGTCTCGTCGGTATGGGATGCGAGGCGCACGAGGCCAAGCAGGCCGAGCGCTCCAAGCGCAAGAAGGAGAAGCAGGAGAGGTACCAGGAGAGACAGAGGCAGAAGCGCCAGCGCCGCCGCAGCCGCTCGCGTGAGAGGGAGAGGGAGAGGCGGCGCAGCGATGCTGCCGAGGAGGCGGCCATGAACGCCGCTCCCGCCGAGCTCACCCCCGCCGAGCCCGTCGCCAACGGCACGGCCAACGGTACCACCAACGGCACCACCGTGTAGAAAGCGTAGATAGTTTCTTTCATGGGTATATTCGTGCATATAGAGCCAGATAGATGTCAATACTTTGTATCACCTCTACTCGACCTTCCAGCGGCCGACGGTCGTGTCGCTGTCCTCGTCTGCGTCGAGTAAGAGCTCGAGACTCCAGACACTAAGGAACAGCGCAATGTTGACCCATCGCCACCACGTCTGGCTTCCTGCGTCGAGCACTGCGGGTCAGTTGCCTTCTTCACCTTAGATAACTCACGAAGCAGGTGCGTGTACACAGCGATCAGGATCGCACGGCGGTACCCGAGGACGATGGTCGTGATGCGCATGTTCTGGGCGTCAGTTCAGCTCGCACGTGTTAACTCACAGGGGGCTCCTGGCCAAGGCTCTTACCGTCCCAGAAGGAGGGCGCCTCGCCGCTGTCATCCCATCCCTTCCGGATGGCGGGGACGATGCGCGTAGCCCAGTGCAGGACGCACACGCGGTAGATCAGCGAAAGGAGCAGATGCGGTGGGAGCGAGAGGCTGACGCTCCACAGGCTGTCGAAGATCGAGTGCAGTCCGCGTTGCAGCAGGGCGCTCACGTTTGGCGCCGAGACATTCTTGGGCACGGCCCAGTCATGCGACAGCCATCCGGTGCCGAACGTACGGGGCCTGGGGTCAGCTGGCATTCACAATAACATTAGCTAGACTCACTCCATAGCGCGCTCAGCCGCGCTCAGCCAGGCAGAGTACGCAACATAGAACAGAACGAGGGACGTCTCGAGCACGTTGGTGCGGCGGAGGGAGAAGCCAATGAAGGAGAGGAAGAAAACGGCAGCGAGCGCGGCACCGAGAAGGAAGGCGGGGAACGGCGTCGACGGGAACGCCCAAACAACGAGGTACAGGCCCGCGCAGTAGACCAGACTCGCGACGAGGAGGCCGACGAGGGCGCGCCACTCGAAACCTTCCTCCTTCTCGTCATCGTCAGCCCAGCCCTTTCCGACACGGCCGACGACCTGGATCACGAGCAACGTGCAGATGCCCTCGATGAGGGTGAAGACGGGCGATACCCAGCGAAGCGTCGACGCATACAGGTATGGTAGGACGTTGACGAGCGCGTGGCCAACGGTGCTACCCGAGGAAGGCGGGTAGAGGTAGTAGTACAGCGTAGTCAGAACGCAGGCGCCGCTGATGAACGCGCTGAGCACAGAGAGGATCGTTATGAGCGGCGCGGCGAGCGTGTTCTTGCACAGCAGCCGCAGCGTCGAGTATCCAAAGTGGTGCAGCGTGAATAGCAGCGAGAGCAGGAGGAACGACGGCGGGCCTGGGGCATTAGTCAAACGACGTAGGTGCGATTGGCTCCAATCTTACCGAGCAGGTCGAGGGCCATGGGCAGGAAGAGGAAGACCTGCGCGAACGTCGCCATGCCCCCGAGCCAGGCGAGGAGGTTGGCTAGCATGGCGAAGGGCGACGTTGCGGGAAAAGGAAGGTGGAAAGGAAGGTGTGGAGAAGACGAAGAAGTCCTGGGGCTGGATCAGGTTCAGTGGTTCCAAGTTTCGGGTTTGTTGACGCAACCGCGTGTCGATCCACTCACCCGACCCTCAATCCCCACAACGATATTTGTGCTTTTCGCTGAACCCTCTTTGTCTTCGCCCATCCTTCCTCCCATCAACCCCACCCCTCCCGCCTTCGACCTCAGTGGGGACAGTCACCATGCTCACCCGTCTCCGCCCTATGAGGAGCACGCTCGCGCGCGTCCCGCTGCGTGCCGGTGCCGCCAGCCTCGGAATGTCTAACCCGACTACGGCTACCACGGCCCGGATCGTCCAGCGCCGCTTCGCCAGCAACTCCGGCTACAACGGCCCTTCGAACCAGAGCGAGGTCACCCCCGACACCAAAAAGCGCAACGCTATCATCGCGACCATCCTCCTCGCTGCGGCCGGCGGTGTGTGGTACTGGGAGACGAAGACGCTGTTCGAGCCGGCCGAGCCCGACCTTCAGGTCTCGTACGGCTCCGGTAGCCGGCGCCAGACTGTGTCGTTCAAGCGCAAGAGTGTTGCTGAGGCCAATGCCATGCTTAAGGAGCACGAGGAGACGCGTGATATTGAGCGCCCTGGCAACCCTGTCGCCCGTCTCGACACCAACTACATTGCTTCCAACGAACCTATCGAAGACCGCTCCGCCGCCGATGTCATTCCCCGCGGCCAGCCCAAAGGCAGCTGGTGGGGTAGCGCAGCCCCTGCCGACGCCGCCAACAAGCCCGGCAAGCGTGACCTCGTCTTCGTGTCTGTCATCGACGGCCACGCCGGTGACGCCACGTCCCAGCTCCTGAGCAAGACGCTTCACCCTACCCTCACCATCGCCCTCGCTGGTCTTCAATCTGGCATCATCCGCGGCCACTCGTTCTGGCACAAGGCTTACGATTGGATGACCTTCAGCAAGGCGTGGACCCCTCCCCACGTCGCCGACGCCCTCAAGCACGCCTTTGTCACCCTCGACGACAACATCTGCTATGGCGCGTCGCGCATGCTTCCCAACCTCAACCGCGACGACCCCGCGCAGATGGCCAAGTTCCTCGTTCTCGCCGAGCCAGCTGCCTCGGGTGCCGTCGTCGGCACCGCTGTCGTTGATTCCGAGAACGTCGACCTCTACGTCGCTGTCACTGGTGACTGCCGTGCCGTCGCTGGCTGGCAGGCGCCCGATGGATCGTGGCGTGCCGACACTCTCTCCGAGGACCAGATGGGTGACAACCCCAAGGAAGTCGCTCGGTAAGCTTCCGATGCTGGATTAGTAGCTGACAACAGTATGCGCTCTGAGCACCCCGCACACGAGGCCGACACTGTCATCCGCCACGGCCGTGTTCAGGGTGGTCTCCAGCCCACGCGTGCGTTCGGTGACGCCGTCTACAAGTGGACGACGAAGGAGGGCGAGCAGATCGCCGATGGCATGCGCGCCGCCGGCCAGCCCAAGACGCGCAACATTCGCCCGTGGAACTTTACCCCTCCTTACGTTACCGCCCGCCCGGAGGTGACCCACCGCCAGCTCGTCAACAGCAAGGGCGAGAAGATGCGCTTCGTCATCCTTGCTACTGACGGACGTGAGTTTCCTTCTCTGCGCTCTGTGACTGACGAACAGTATGGGACCGCCTGACCTCTGAGGAGGCTGCCGCGCTTGTTGCATCCTTCATGACGCAGCCCAAGCGCGACGATGTCCCTAAGACGGAGCTGCCGAAGGAGCTCAAGCTGACGACCACCGAGCCCCGGCCATTCCCCGTCCAGCCTCTGCCCGGAACAGCAGACCGCGCCAGCGGCGAGTGGGCGTTCGAGGGCGACGACAATGCCGCGACCCACCTCATCCGCAACGCCTTTGGAGGCGGCGACCGCAAGGAGCGCTCCGAGCTGCTCAGTCTGCACGGAAAGGCGTCCCGATACTTCCGTGACGATGTCACTGTCTCGTGAGTTTGATCAATTGCACCAGTGGACTCCAGCTTACATCCCAGGGTCCTCTTCTTCAACGACGACGAGTAGGTTGGCGTCGGCGTCAGTTTAAGTCCATAGCATCTAGATACCCCGCATCGAGCATGACATGCATGGTCCTTCCTCGGCCACCGGAGCGCCTTCCGCTGACGCGACGCGACTTCAGCCGGTCCAGTGTCAAACACGTGACTGTTGTGCCACGCGACAATCACGGACTAGGCGTCATCCGACCATCGCTGCGTCGACACTCACTCCCGCGTTATCCATCTCGAGAATTCCGCACACACTTTCGAGACCTTTCATCAAACGATACTCCAGTCCGCACACACAGCCTTCTCGCATGGACGACCTCCTCGACCTCAGCTGGTCCGACAAGCCGGCGTCTGGCTCCTCCACTTCGGGCGGGGCAAAGCCGCCGTCGGGCGCTGGCGCATTCGACTTCCTTTCGAAGCCGGCGAACCCGAGTGCGCCGAACTATTCTGGCCGGTCGACCCCGCTTGTCCCGAGTCCACGGCCAGGGAGTGCGGCCGGATTACAGGGACGAAATGGAACGAACGGCACCTCGACACCAGCCATGGGCTCTGGTCAGCGCACACCTGCTATGGGAGCCAGTGCGCCCAAGCCTGCGATCGGCGGCGACGCCTTCAGCGATCTGCTGGGTGGATCTAGCAGCCCCGCGTCTTCGGGCAAGAACTTGAGCATGGCGGAGCGTGCTGCCAAGCTCGCTGCCGAGAAGGCGGAGAAGGAGCGGCGCGAACGGGAACAATGGGGCGGCTTCCTCGATGGCTTCGATGCGCCCAAGCCCGCGAGCCCGGCCCCAGTGAAGCCTTCGAGTCCTGCGCCCTCCCATCCCATGCTCGCCCCGAAGCCGCAGCCCGCTGTTGCGCGTACTGCCTCACATCTCTCCGCACGAACATCGCCTTCGCCCAGCTCAACGACTTCGGCGCCCAAAGCCGGCTCTTTCTGGGACTCGGATATGGCCAAGTCCGCGACACCCGCCAACGACGACCACGACGATCTCGATGACTTCCTCGGCGGCAGCTCGAAGCCGACCCAGGTGAACCCGACCGGCGGAGATCTCCTGGGAGGTACCACGGGAAGCGGCTCCAAGTCGTCTGGCCCGTCTGATCCATGGGACCTTGACGCCCTCGCGGCGTCGGTGCCGTCTGCCTCGGACAAGCCGGCAGAGGAGAGAAATGACCGGCCATCAGACTTTGATTATGGCAATGACTTTGCCGAGGACGACGATGATCTCCTCGGAGGTCTTGGGAGCACGTCAGCTGTGAGTTCTTCTGCACCTCTCGAACTGACATCCAGCGCCGCGAACCTCGTCGAGAAGCCCCCTCGCGGGAAGGAGCCGCCTCGCCTCCACCCCATATCGTCGGTCAGATCGTGGAGATGGGTTTCTCGCCCGCTCAGGCCCGCGCTGCTCTGGCTGCCACGCCGACGGGTCTGGACGTCCAGGCTGCGATCGAGTCGCTCGTCGGAGGAAGTGGTGGCGGTGGTCGGGACGAGGAACTGGAGATGGACGACGAGCGTGTTGCCCGTGAGATGCAGGCGCGCGAGGAGCGCGAGGCTGAGCGGAGAGCCCGGCATGCGGCCCGCCGCGCTGGTCCTTCACGCGACTCTGTGCGCCGACAGGCCCAGCCGGCGGACGAGCACCGCGACCAGCGTGATCAGCCGGTTGATCAGGCTGAGCGCCTGATGGCCCAGGCGTCTGAGATCGGGTCAAACATGCTGTTCAAGGCGACAAGTCTGTGGAACACCGGCAAGGAGCGCGCAATGAAGGCGTATGAAGAGCAGAGGAAGGCATACGAGGAGCAGCAGGCCGCGAAGCGGCGTCCTGCTGACGGACGGCCGCGCTGGATGGTCGAGGCGGAGGAGGCGCAGCGTGCGGAGGCAAACGGCCCTGGTGATCAGCAAGAGGTGTCCGGCGGCGGGTTCCAGGACTCGGACGACGAGGCTGAGACGCGGCGTACGCAGCATTCGCAGACTGCCCAGGCTGCGCGACCCAAACCGGTGCCGCAGCCGAGCATGACGGCTAGGGAACGGGCGGACCTGCTGTTCGCCGAGGAGCCGAAGCGTGCGTACGTTTCGCCGAACCGGCGACCTGGCGGCGCCACCCGCCTCGTCGCGATCTTCCACCCCTGCGACGCCTGCAGCACCTCCCCCTGCACGCCAGCTCGTGCCTGCGACCGAGGCGCAAACCTCTGCCGCAGCCCAGCACAAGGCGAAGGGCAATGAGCACTTCAAGCTCGGTCGGTTCACGGAGGCGGAGGTGGCGTACTCTGCTGCGATCTCGGCGCTGCCAGCGGGCCACATCCAGCTCGTGCCGCTCCACAACAACCGTGCGGCGACCTGGCTCAAGCTCGGCGAGTCGACCAAGGCGATCCAGGACTGCGGCGTCGTCATCGACCTCGTCGGGCCCAAGTACCACCCGAGCAGAGAGGCGCCGCTTCCGGCGGACTGCGACGTCAAGCTCGGTGATGCGCTGGTCAAGGCGACCTCAAAGCGCGCCCAGGCGCACGAGATGGGCGAGAAGTGGCGTCAGGCGCTGGACGACTGGGAGCGTGTGATGGGATACGACGCCGCTCTCGGCGGGCAGGGAAGCAAGGCGCAGGCGAGTGAGGGTATCAAGCGTGCCAAGGCGATGCTGGACCCGACACCGAAGGCGACGCCCAAGCCCTCGAAGCCGTCTACGCCGCGCCCGCCCTCGCGCCCCGCAGATGTGGGCAAGTCTGCCGCCGTCGCGGAGCTGCGCAAGGCCGCCCAGCAGCAGGAGAAGGAGGATGAGGCACGCCTGGCTGTCAAGGACGCAGTGGACGCCAAGCTCGACGCCTGGCGCAAGGGCAAGGAAACCAACCTCCGTGCGCTGCTTTCTAGCCTCCAGCTCGTGCTCTGGGAGCCCGTGCTGCTCAAGGTCGGCATGCACGAGCTCGTCACCGACAAGCAGGTCAAGATCAAGTACATGAAGGTCATTGCTCGCTTGCACCCGGACAAGCTCGCGGGTATGAACACGACGCCGGAGCAGCGTCTGCTCGCGAACGGCGTTTTTGGCCAGCTCAGCGAGGCGTGAGTACCTGCCCCATTATAGCATCTGCAGATCACTGACAGTGCCACAGATGGGCCGCGTTCAACCAGTAATCAGGTGCCACACTTGCAACAAGGCGTAAGTGTTGACTGCTTCATCGTGGATTCGAGCTAACGGGACAGAGTAGTGGGCGAGTGCATCCGAGTAGAATCACACCTGAGTAGCCGCACTCGACTTCCATCGATTCCATTCCAGGGGAAGCCCACTTCGCGGCCGGAATCACGGGACACAGCGACTTGTAGCCGTGCGTGGCCCAAAACCGTTCCGCGTTCCGCCCATGCCTGATTGTCGCGGCATGCGCAATGGGCATTCCGAGATCGGATCGTCCGGTCCGATTGCCAGAATGCCCTCACAGTTTGCCCGTTAGAAGACCCCTTGATGCCCGCCTCATGCCCATCGATGCCCGTTCATTGCAGCGATCGTGATCATCACTATTAGTATCCGATGATGTGGCATGCGCAGCCTGTGTGGCTCGACACCCACAATACACCAACACATAATGTTAGAATAGATGCATTGCGCTACGGGATCAGCACTGGAATGCAGTGGCGAGCCGGCGAGCGTGGCAAGCGTCGGCGACGGGACCGACGTCGGCCAGTCTTCCGCTGCGGCTGCTGCAGACGTTGCCCCGCGTGTGTCAATTCGACGATAAATGAGAAAAGGAGTGACTATGAATGCAAGAAGGACGGGATATAGCAGTTAAGTCGCTCGGCAAACCCGAGCTCGAGCCGGTCCATCGATACTCCGTGTCTATTCCCGACGCAGAGACCGCTCTCCGCGTATCGAATCCGTCATGTGGTCCCCAGCGAGCATACACACGCGGGACCCGATTGATCGGGCATCGACCTTTGCACAATCGATTCCAGGTATCGATCGGAGTGTGCCATCCCGCTGCAAGGGCTGGAACGTTGCCAGCAAAGTGACTCAGCAAGGCCAGCAAGCCGGCAAGAAGCGCAAGAACCTCACGAGAAGGCATTGTGAATTGGTGAAGGTCGAAGAGGTCGGTGACTCCTCCGCCCTCCTTTCTGTCACTCGGTCATCAAAGTGGTCGAAGATAGAAACGAGCGGGTTCAAAAGCCACTGTTTCATCTGTAGTTGCCGTGTTGTCTATGTCCGCGAGCCGCTCGTGGATCGTTCCGTGCCGAAAGCGGCCAGGCTGAGGAGGCGCTTCGTTACGAGGTGTGCGCGGACCAATGTTGGCGGAACGGTTGATCAAGCCTCTGCCACGACTTCACTGGGCCAGGTGACTGGAATGGCTCGAGGTATGCACAGACGTGGCGGACGAGCGCGGCAAGACATCTGCCGGCCCTGTATGTGCCTGCCGAACGTTGGAATAAGGTGCTGGAGTGATCCGTGGCAGTCGGCAGTGCATTCAGCGTGAGGTTGGAGCCGTGTTGTCTACTGTATCTCCGCGAGCCGGAGTCCAGTTATCCTCTCTCCCTCCAAACCTCGCCGTGCAGGCTAGCATAACGTGAATGCCCCCCTCGACGGGAAGATCATGATTGTACGGCGCTCGAGTCCAGAGGCGGGCAAGAGCTGGAATGGATCAGCGCAGGGTACGACTTGACGACTGTCACAATTCATGCAACCGCTCTGAGTGTCCACCGATTGCTGCTACCGCCTGCGGTGAATCATGATGGTAAGCACGTAAGTTGAGAAGCCTTCTTTCCGCCTGACCATGAAACGCTCGCTGGTCTTGTTCAGTCAAGCCGACGGAACCCCTGCCCAACGGAAAGTGGGCCGCCAGTTGCCTAGAAGATGATGATCGAGAGCTCAATGAAAGCGATCGAGAGCATGACCGAGTTGGTGAGCACGCGTCCAGCGCTGGATAGCAGGCAGCTAGAATAGCACTGGCAGCACAGCTTGAGGGGCGCAAATCCGTTCCCGCTCAGCTTGCAAGGAGACATCTGACCTCTTCTTCTTCATTCGATGGGTAAGTTTAGAACGCATTGCGCACATGACAACAACAGGCGCAAAGTCGATCCGTCGGAACCCACAGCCTGGAGTACCTGGAGCCAAGCTTGCTCACTGCTGACTGTGCAATGTCTCGGTACGCTCGCTTGCGAAGGACTTAGCGGGCTCTGAGTCGGCTGTCGCTGCCGGCCCGGTTTCGGGCCTTAGCTTCAATGATAGCCACGAGAAAGTTTGTGGTATCCGGCTCGACCACTCTGCTTGCTTAGCTCCATCTTGTCTCACTTGTGAAGCCTCATCTCGCTACGGTCGCTTCGATGTCTCCAGACCAGCCCCACTGTCTGTGCCCTTGATCTCACCACTCACGCTTCTATGGCTACTCCACGCCAAGCACTCGACCATTCACGCTGAAGCGTTCTATGCGCGTTCCTCTTCATTAGGGGGCTTAATTTGAGGCATTATTGCACCCGATGTAACTCTAAGCATCGCCTTGCGGGCTCCCGCGCCCATCTTCGGGTTGTAGCCGGGTGTCGACTTCGACGCATCGGGGCATTTGAACATTGGTAGCAAGGGCAGAGTGACCCAGTTCCGCTATAGATCCTGCATATCCCCCGGCACCCGTACCATTCGTTTTGCGGGAGCTCCTAGCTTCCTGAGGGGATCAACAGCTTGAGAATGGGAGTCTGCAGCCCCGGAGCGACAACAGCAAAGCCAGTGACTGCGCTAGCACAGCAGGCGTCACCGGCAAATTGGGCGATTAAGCAAACCCCGCAAGACCGAGCACTATGCGCGCTACGGTGGCCCAAATGAAGTTCCGAACGTTAGGACGTTCGAAGAACAGTGGGTCATTTGTATCAATTTCAACGGAACCCCTGCAGGCGCGCGCATCGTCGGCCCGCAGTCCTCGGTGAGCGAGCACATCGGACCGGCCCTGCCATCTAATCCCAGCGCTACATACTCAACGAGTGTTAGCGACGGATCGTGATGACCAACCCACCATCCGCTCATCTGTAACGCAGCGAAACGTCCTAGTAGGGTTAGCCCGGGTCGTGCGTGATGTGATGATGAGTAGTTAGCCGTCAGTCCCGGGACGCAATGAGTTTGCGCATGAACGTGAATAGTGCGGAGGAAAGATGCGAAGGAGGGCGGTGCCCGCCGTCGATGTGGGCGGGCCGCTGTTCCTCGGCGTTGTGGAGTCTCAGCACTTGCCCCTCCTGGCCTCCGTTCTGGACGCTTCGGTGGCTCGACTAGACTTCGACGCCCGTGCGCTTGATGTGCAAGGCCAGTGATCGAAGGATCGCCGAGCTGCAGCTGTGCACTGCTGCGCGTCGGCGCCGCTAAGTCCGTTCGACCCGCTGGTCCCGCCAGAGCCGTTGGGCCGTTCGTGGCACCTCACAAGCGTCAGACCAGCTGTCCGTTTCTCCGAAGTTTGTCCGGATAGTCTGTGATCCGACCAGTCGGCGCCGCACTAGGCTACGGAGAGACATTAATGCCAGATCCCTGCAGCCGCCGCCATGCAAAGCGTGAGCGGCTGACTACTCGTGCCCGGTCGGTCCGGGTTTCCCTAGTCAACTGAGCACTTCTCACTGGTTCTCACTGGGTTGAAGCAGAGCCTAGTCATTCTGCCAGGGGGTAGAGATGATCGCCGAATGAACGTGCCCCCCTGCACTACTGCTGCGTTGGGACGCCTCGTACCCGGTGGCTTCCATTCTGTGAGCGTGAGGGGCAATGGAGCAGTCACTTCAACGTACTAACATTGTGATGGTACCCCCATCCTGCCTCGGACCTGCCGAGGTATTGCGTGTGAAGACGTCTCCACGGATCTTCATTTCCAACCCATCTGGAACGGACACTTTGGCAAGGTCACGGCACGTCTAGGGAGTGAACGCCAAGAGTCACTACCGGCTGCAGTCTCGCACACGCCGTAGTATCATTGTGTCGAGCACTGCCTGGGTTCTGCTGCTGTCGCAGACTGCTGTGTTTTCCAATGCTACGGTCCGCGACTCCGTGAATCCACGAAAAGCGGTCCCAGCGACTGTGTTCATGGCTAGCGTCTCTGGTGTGCCCGTCGGTCTTCCTACCTTACTCATAGTACATAGGCCAGCCTTTTGTTCGGCATTTCCGTGCAGCTGACACGTAGAAGGATGACTAGCGATCGGTCTCTCCGTAGCCTCGCAATTTCATTCTACGATCGGAGGTGACTAGAAGCCAATGGTCACTTCGGGTTTCGGATCCCGCACCGCGGTCTCGGACGATTTTGCGCGGTCTCCGACGAAGCGATGCATAGTGTCCCCCCTAAGTTGTACCTTGTCGTGTTGTCCCATCTACAGGGCTGTCGAGCACAGTTGTGATTGGAACGATTGCCACTAACACCTGGAATGTGGCGTGCAATGCAGTCTGCCACTCGCTCTCTTTCGTCGCCCAATGGACACATTCGACGGGCTCGCATCAATATACACCCTCAGACATATTACAGTGATGCAGATCCAGTGAAGGAGATGAGATCTCAATGGCCCAACGTTCATACGCCGGTCCTACGGTGGTGCTCAAGTCATTCTACCGTTCCAGCCTCTGCGCTTTCGCCCCCTTCTGGCTAGGTAGCCGAGAAGGATCTCCTTTGGCATGGTTAAGTCCTTGCTTGGCACGGCTTTGCTGTCAGGGGAAGGCGACTATGCCAAAGGGGGTTGGGCCGCGGCTATCCCCGGCCCCGCGCCGCGCAGTACAGGATAGACTGCGCTGAGGCGGCCGGATCTCTACTTTTCAAGTATCAGAACCACCCAGCTGCCGAGGCAAGATCACTCAGATGAACCTCGCAGCGAACAAGCAGCCACATTCCTTCTTGGTGCACCCGAAGACTTCTGCGCAGAGCAAGGGGTGTCGAGTCCGCAGAGTCTGGGGAAGAGCAGAAGCCAATAACCCAACAGACGGCCACCACTGCGGGGAACGAGGCATGTGGGCAGACTTGTTGCTCCGAGAGCCGTGGTATGGCGGTGGTGGTCTTGGAAATCAAAAGGATCGCCGCGCCCCGTGAGTGCCACCCGCGGACCCTCGCATGTGGGAGATGCTGTGCAGCCTACTTTGCTCGGTGAGGCGATCTTCAAGGCACTGCGCCGCGTTCCGGAATAGATAGCCCGAATATGAC